AATGATCACTAAGCGGCGACACAGAAGCTGAACAATCTGACACAGTCAAATGCTTTGACCATGTCAGATCGATACAGGATCTTTCTCCTGTGCCACGGGCACACGTGAGCTCACCAGGGGTGTTAACCAAGGTGAGTCCTGCATCCGTGCACAGCTCTAAACACTCTGCAGCAACCTCGCTTGGAGAAGACTCCAAGAATGGCTCCCACTGTGGGTGATGCATGTTGAAATCCCCGCACAGCAGGAGCGGCGACGAGGCTGGAAGGCAGTTTACTAACCGCCTGAAGGATTGCGTTACTTGCGGTGGTGGTCTCATATAGGCACTCGCTACGATAAGATCACGGTTCTGGTCCAGAGCAACCTGGACCACCACCACTTCAAGGCTGGTGTCATGCTGGGGGATGGTGAGAGGTATACGCTTGGAGCGGAGAGTTTTCCGCACCAGCACCGCCACACCGCCTCCCTTGCCGATGCGCGACTGTGCATAGAGCACATAATCTCCAGTATGCATGCTGGCGATCTGCTCCGACGACTTCCAAGTCTCCTGGATGGCTATTATGTCTGCTCCTTGCGCCATTAATGTTGCGAGTTTTGACGGCGTTAGGCATGAAACGTTCATCTGTAGTACTGCTATGGGGCCTGGGTTCTGCTCAATGTCTTTGCTTAGCAGTAGCTTTTGTCGTTGCGCGTCACATACGGCACGCAAACAGTATGTATAGCGCTGAAGAGCGCCGATGGAATTTAGCAGCGGGTGAAAATACCGCTCCGCGGGCAGCCATTACACATGGCTCCGTCTGGTGCCCTTCCGACCCGTTTGAGCGGCGACCACCGCCACCCTCCTGCCGGAGTTCGTCGGGCCGTGCGTGACGGCGCGCCCCCAACCGTGAGGCGCCGCGTCGGACGCTGCTGTTTAATAGCGCCGTCTTCGGCCGTATTTTGACGCGTGACGGGTCCATCTGTAGGGCTTCTCCGGGTGGCGGGGGCTTCATCCTGGCCCGCCGTCTCCGCCTCCCGTTCGGCTTGCTACGCCTCTCTTGCGTTAGCGCGTGCCTCTCGTTCCTGGAGCCGGGCGCGGGTTGCCTCCAACTGCTGTTCGCGTCCGGCGACCGCACGCTCCGGTTCTCCCAGATGGTCGCGGGCCCCGGCAAAATTAGAGTACCGTATGGATGGTTTGTTGCGCGCCTCCCCCTCCCGCACATTAAGCTCGGCGTTTTGGCACCGCACTTCGGCGATGGCGTGGGCGTGGTTCGCCTTGAGGGACGCTCTTTCCGCAATGACGAGCCCTGGCTGGACCCCCAACTCCCGGGCCACACCCACACGATAGGCGCGAGCAATTGAGTCTTGCGATTTGTTAGTTGGGGCGCCCGGCGATGCGCAACATGTCCTGTAAGGGGCGAATCCTCCCAGGATTTGGCGGCGGATCCCGAGATCGAGAGTGGGTCCGACGATGGGTCGGCCACAGTTAATTTCGCATTGCCCGTTTCGTTCCCATCCATGAACACAAGCTGCGCCCGGTTATCGCAATGTTGGCAGGACAAGTCCGGAAGACAGGCACAAATATCGCTCTACTCGGAGGCTGTGTTGGGAACCAACGCCGTTTCTTCGTATAAACCAACCTGGCTGTGTCCCTCAATTGAAAATAAAAATAAAATTTATGGGGCCGCTATCGGTCCCCTGATCTCTTGAAGTTGTGGCGTTCCAAAAATTCATACGGTAGAAAAGCGTCGTAAAGAAGAGCATTACTTCTATCAGGATATATATATATATTAATATATTAATTAAGGCAGCCAGCTCTCCCGCGATCATTCTCTTCTCAAGAATCTAAAAAAGCTTTTTTCTGGCCATTTTTTCGCAGGTCGCGGCGGCCGTTCGTTAATAGCCCGGGGCCGTCCGGTTTTCCCGTCTCGAATAACGCAGTTATGCGAAATGGATTTTCTCCAAGGGTTCGAACGCTCAGTGGCCGAAGGCGGGGGCATTCCCACAGCATGTGCGGTAGAGTCCCCCGTGGACCGTCAGGCGGCTTAGCGGCTGGTGGTGGTTGCGGCGGAGGAGTGGCTGAAGGGCTATGGCTGTCATTGGAGCTTGCGGAGGTGCGTTGTCCGATTTTTGCTCGTCGACACGCTTGACATTTTCGGTAACGACCTGCGCGTGAGGCGCTTGTTGGGGAGACCGTGGAGCTGTCGCAGAATCCACGTGTGAGGCCTTCTCCAACGATTGGAGTGCCAGGGTTAGTGCGTCGGCCGTGTGCCTTCATATTGTGGACGGACGAGAAGACGCTGCTGCCGCTTGGGCAGGGCGACGTTGATCTGCTGCTCTTAGTTCTACGAGGAGGCGCCGTCGACACGCCAGGTGGAGGTTCCGGAGGAGGTCGGGGCGGTCCTGTCTCTTCGGTGTGGAAGGGACGGCACCACCGACATAAAGGGTTGCTTGTGATCTGCGTGGCGCGTGCCGGTCTGCCGAGGAGTGGGCGGGTGTCGCAACGTGCCTGCGCACAAAGTCGTGATTAAAAGCCCTATGTCTTCGAGAAGATCAGGAACGGGGTCCTTGCCACACAAACGAGCGTCTGTCATGCGGTGTGCGCCTTTTTTGTCCTGGACTTCCTTTCAGCATATCCTTTTGACGGCGGTGTGGAAGTCCACGTGCCAGACTGGGACGCCGTCGCGCAACCGGAAACTCTGAAGGTTATTGCCGTTCCCTTTTTTAGGTTGCCACGGCCGCTTTAGAACCGAAAAAAAGCATTAAAAAAAGGCATGGAGGTGTGGGACCGCCGCGGCGTTTCTAGACGATTTTCCGGCACAAAAAGTTCGCCTTGCGCCAGGCAACCGGGAAACCCCCGGCAGGACCCCGGCGCAACACTTCGAGAGTTGATCAAAAAGCGTTTTGCATCCATAACCCGGCCCCCAATTCCCGACGCATTTTAAAACCTTCAGGCGCGAAAAATGACCGTTACAAAGGCAATGCCGATATAGCCGCGCGGCTTTGGGGGAAACCGCGTTTCCCGGCTTCCCCGAAAACGGCGCGTAAACCCACGCAACGCCCAACTTCAAAATCGTCACACGACATGAATGGCCGCAAAAGCAGCAGGCGCCGGTAAGAAGAAGCGCTTCGAACTGCGTAAGCCACTTTTCTTTAAGCGCTATGTGGGGTTTCCTTTTTCCAAATTCCGAAACGGCAAAATGGCAGCGTATCCGCATATTTCCTCGCCGCCTCCGCGTTTTTCCCCACCCCGACTCCCACAAAGGATCGCGAAACTCCGGACCCAAATTTCTCCGAAATCGCCCCCCGCCGTTGCTTCTACAAGCCCCTCCCTGATTTCTCTTCTGGGAGCGGCCGACCTAATTTAATATGTTCTGATAAGACGAATATGTTTCTGTGCGGTTCTTTCCCATCTTATGGTTCCTTGGAAGACCGCGATGGGAGGAGTCAAGGAACCGATGACGGCAGGATGAATTTTATTTCATTGTTTTTGCCGTCCAACCCCCTTTTGACTCCAACCCTGCGGCGGGGTCTTGTGGTTGGAGGATCTTGAACTCAGCCACCTCGTAACTAATAATATCTCCAGTCCGCAGAGGCTGCAGCACGTCACGATGGCGGCCAGCCGAATATATATATAATGGGAGCGAGCGACGAGGACGCGGCGAAGTCACTGTCTCTCCACCACCCCTTCCTTCCCGTCCCATTTTGTTTTTATGGAAAAGTCTGGTGTCTGGTCAGCAGCCCGGGCGAATTTTTGCGCGACTCGCCCCGCGCTTTCTAGGAGAGAGGAGCGGCGCGTTGGGTTGGCTGCGGGTCTTTGGGGCTCCGCGGTGGCCGCGGGGACCGCCCACCCACGACGCCAGGCCGGAGGCGACGGGTTTACTGTGGCTTTGGTGGTTGGGGGCGTGTCGGTGCGGTCTTTTTTGTTCTTTTTATTTGCGTTTTTTTTGTTGACCGTGGTGCTGGGAGCCTTTTTTGGTGGGTATGGGGTTTGTGTGTTGGTGCGTATTTTGGGCGAGGGCCTTGGCGAAGCTTTTGGCGGGCAAGGTACGCAAGCGGGTGCAACATGGGAAGTTGACTTGCCGTTTTTATTTTTCATTATTATTATTATTATTATTATTGTTAAATTTGCTCCCGGTGAGTTGTTTTATTGCTGCGCGAGGCGCGAAACGGTGGAATTTTTTTGGTTTTAGTTTTTTTAGGTTACATAAAGCACCCAAAAAAAAAAAAAAAAAAAAAAAAATGGGAAAAAAAAATGAAAATAAAGCCGTATCATATATTTTTAGTGTTTCATTATTAAAAATCAATTTTCTTCTTGGGCAAATCAAAAGAAATCAGAGAAAAAATATATTTGGATTTGTCTATTCCTGCTTCTTACATGCAGTAGGGATTTATTGTATGGAATGTCACAAGCAAACGGCCTGCTTATTGAATCCGTTTTATTTTTGTGGCTTTGAAAATGTAATTATATAATGATTTATATACGCCGCTACCCCTTCTTTTTCCTGGAAAAAGAGATGCTTTTGGCATAAGGGCAGGTTTGAAAAAATGTTGAAGGTGTGTCATAAAATCGCAATGACTCTTTATCCAGAGGGTTTGTTATTCTTTTCAGAATTTCCTTTGATCGAAAAAAAGATGTATGATAAGGTCGCGAAATGTGTCGGGGTGAAAGGGTTAAGGGATGGTGCTTGGTTTTTTTTGTTTTTTTTTTGTTTTTGTTTCCGTATATATGAGTTTAGAAATGGAAGCCATATTTGCCGTCACAATAATGGATGGGTTTGAATAAAATAAATAGCGGTTAAATTAAGTGGCGTTGCCCAGAAGAAACAAGAAATAAGGAAGAGAGAGAATGATGGGGAAAGCAATGAAAAAAAAAAAAAAAAAATAGGATGTGAGGGTTAAATATGTGCGGTGGAAAAGTTTGCAAATGTCGATATCAATCAAAAAAAAAAAAGAAAAAAGTCTTTTTTTTTTCATATATAATCAAATTTTTGCCACTATTATTTTTGTTATTGAAATTATTATCATTCAAATGATTTTTTTTTGTGGATTTCCTTAATGACATTTTTAAATTCTGTCCCTTTATGATTCATTACCCCTTTTTTTTTTTTTTTTTTTGCTATTAAAACGACTTTTTCTCTTTTTTGTTTTCTTAAAGGGAATATAAAAAAACAAGGACTTATCTGAAGCCGTTGCTGAGGAAAGCTTGGAGGACTTTGAACTGACAGATGCTGGGCGTCGAGTCCCCGAAGTTTCCATGACATTTGGAGAAAATGCACATGCTCATGAGCGCAATGTTTTTTAAAACGAAGCTTCAAGGACCCTTGCGCCAACTTCATCAATCGATGGCGATATATATATATTGGTTAATGAGAAGACTCATTTCTTTGAGCAACAAGCCGACGAGGATTTTTTTGGGCTTAAGTTGAATTGCTCGTTTTTTTATTCACCTGAATTTGCCTTCTGCTACGAGTATTGCGTTTATTTTTGATTTGGAAGTTTTACCATTCTCTTTTATGGGCTTTTCTCTGGTTAATGATTTTTTTTTAGATGCTTCTGTAGGGGTGGACTCATTATTTTAATTTTTACTCAATATTCGGTTTGTCGATTGACTTTTGCTATTGAACCAGTTTGCTCGCATGCTTACGGTAGAGATTCAGAGAGTGATGAATAAGGTGTTGTTCTTTCAATGAGTTTTGGTTGGTATTTTATCCATGATACCTGTAAAAAATATATATTATTATTATAATTTTTTGATACAAACTGCTCTACCAAAATGCCACGGGAAAAGATAGTTGAAATTGCCTATGATTTTATGGGTTTTTGAATTCTTTTAGTCATTTCATTGTTTACCTTGCGAAATTTCTAAACTTTGTCCTAATCAGTTTAAGTTTTGATTACCCGTAGTGGGTGTTGTTGTGATTCCTCTACTTCAGCACTTTTTGGTGAAGTGAGGCGCTCGTGGAGCTATGCTAGGAATCAATATTGCGGCTTGGATAGAGCTTGCATTAATTATTACTGTGAGAATTTTTTTATTGAGATGGAATCGACAAGCGCTTGGTAATCTTTGTGTCTGAGAAGGGTTGCAAAGGGATGATTTGAAAGAATATCTTTTTTAATTCCCATTTCTCTTTTCGTTGTTGCTGAAGCATTGGCATTTGGTGTTGCCATGTTACTCTTGAATACACTTGGAGTTTTAGAAAGGGCTGCTTTCTCCGCAATTTTCAACAATCTCCTGATGTTTATCGTTCTTCCAGGAGGCATAAACACAGCATCTTGTACCACAATTGGTCGAATATGCGTCCACGGCGCGCATGGCGATGTCTTATTGCTGCTGCCACCTTTTTAAAGGTTATAGTGTTCTTGAATGGGATTATTGTTATATTTTTTTATGATCAACTTATTGTTATTTCTGGAGTGGACGAGGCTTCACTGGTATTGGCACATACCCTGTGTTGGGTAGTAACGATTACACAAATTGCTGACAGTTTGCAATACTTTTTAAAGGGCATTTGCATTGGAATGGGGCGGAATAGAAAAAAGTGCAAAAAATTCGGTTAACGTTATGTTTGTTTTCTTTTTTTTTTTTGTATGATTTCCGTTGGTGTTTTTTTCAAATTATTATTTTTTAGGAGCTTGTGAAAAGAATGATCGCGGTAGAGCTGGCTAACTTAATTAATCTATGTTTATATCCTGATAAATGAATCCATTCTTTATGATACTCTCTACCGTATGAATCTTTTGGGAAGAACGCGACTTTGTAGGGGCAGGGAGCCGATAGAGGCCAGATAATATTTGTTTTTATTTTGCCATCCCACCCACACCCTTTTGATTCCCACCACGCGGCGGGGTCTTGTGGCTGGAGGACCCCAAAGTCTGCCACTTCGTAAGTAATAATATGTAAATCCTAACTGAGAACTAAGGACCATGCTAGTGGTCCACAGAATTCTATATACTGAATGAAAAGAAAACATTGAAGCAATTAACTAACGAACCTTTTTTCCTAACTTGTTTGGTTTCCATAGATTATTTCAGGATCCAGCCAGCTGCCCAGAAGATTATTCTTATTTTTATTTTATTTTATTTATTTTTATTATTTTATTTTGTTTTTTTACATTTTTTATTTTTTTTCTCTCTTCTTTCTTCCCCCTCTTTTATTATTTTTTTTGTTTGTATGTAAATTATTGATGTCATCTATGACTGAATAGAAAAAACGTGTTTTATTTTGCTGCGCGCATGTAAAGTGGGGGAGAGGGAGGGAGGGAGGGAGAAATAAAATTTTCATGGAGAGCTGCCATAATCAATGGAGCATACATCTAACACACATATGTAGACGTCACTTTACTGCAGACACACACATATGTGAATATAAATATCTTTCTCGCCCTCCCCCCCTCTCTCTCCTTTTTTTTTTTTTTACAGACGCGCTGGCTTTCCCTTATTTACTCTGCTTGCAGTACATGTCACTTCCTTTCTTTCTTTTCTTCTTCTTTCGTATCCAGTTTTTTGTTTTTTCGAATTTTTTTCTTTTATTTTCATTTACTTTTTATTGACATGTTTGCTTTTTTACTTAAATGTTGTACGAATTGTTTTATTTTCGGTGCTTTTTTACTTTGATGTTTTTTTAATTTCTCCTGGGAAAAAATAAAATAAAATTTTTGTTCCCTCCCAATCCCGACATTTTCTGGGAGCTTGTGAAGAGAATGATCGCGGGAGAGCTGGCTGCCTTAATTAATATATTAATATATATATATATCCTGATAGAAGTAATGCTCTTCTTTACGACGCTTTTCTACCGTATGAATTTTTGGCAAAAAATGACTTTAAGAGGGCATCAGGGAGCAGACAGAGGCAAGATAATTTTTTATTTTTATTTTGCCACCCACCCACCCCTTTTGATCCCCACCTCGCGGCGGGGTCTTGGGGTTGGAGGAGCCCAAAGTCTGCCACGTCGTAAGTAATAAATATTTCATACACTCACTGAGCGCAGAGGCCACGTGAGCGGTCAACAGTATATATAATACATATATATATAAATATTATCGGAGGGAAACACAGAGGCAATTAACTGCCTCTTCGATACTCCCCTTTTTCTCTATCTTGTTTGGTTTTTGTAAATAATTTCAGGATCCAGCCAGCAGCCCAGAAGATTATTCCCGTTTCTTTTTTTTTCCCTCCATCTTTTTCTGCTTGTCTCCCCCACCCTATGCATGTATACAGCGGCCACTGTAATATGTATGTATGTGTGTCTCTTGCTGTGTGTGGGAATGGCGAAGATAATTTATTGACGCCACTTGTTTTTTGTTTAATATTTAATTTTCAATTCACTTTTTTTCTTTTCTTTATTTTTATTTTTATTTTTTCACTTTTCCTGCTGACACCCGCATCTTAAAAATATACCCACTCACACATGTGTGTATTTACATACGTTTACATGTGTGTGTGTGTGTGTGCATCTCTACTTTGTTTTATTTTATACTTTTTTTCCACCTGCCTGCCTGCCTGTACGGATGCATGGCCTGTTGTTTACATGACTGCTGTGGACATCTCACCTGCGCATCTGTTCGCCTCCACCACATTCTTTTCTGCGGCCGGTGTCAATGTTGGCATGGGGGTGGGGGCGCAAACATCCCAGGAGGAGGCCGAGACTTGTTTTCCGCCCACAAACGATAAAAAAAAGAAGGATAAGAAAAGAAAAAAAGAGGGTAAAACACAAACTCACAAGATAAATAAATAAAAAGTAAATTTCTCCACCCTCTTTGCTGCTTTCTTTTTTTCCTTCTCCAGCCGGCAATTCTTTCTTTTCTCTTTTTTTCTTCTTTCCTTCCGGCTTCCATTTTCCCTTTCTTTTTTCTCTCCACCACTTGAAGGGGGCAGGTCGAAAAAAAAAACACTTTTGGACGAAGAGGGAAACAAAGGTTGTCATGCAGGTGCGGCGGCTTCTATCGGACTGAGCCGTGCGATGGTTGCGTCTTTGGGCACAACGAAAAAAGGGTGAGGCTAGTACGGCGCATGCACGTAAAACGTTGTAAGAATTTCAAAGTGATCCACATATAATGACGACAAAGAGAAGAAGAAGGCCAGTAGAGGAAAGAAAAGAAGGAAGGCAACAATAAAAAATAATAAAAGGAAATTAGACAACCCCAACGAGATATGACAGTGTCGCCACCTCTAATGACTAAGGGGAAGGGAGAGGAGACCCACAGACACATGGACTCATGGACACCGACGCGGACACATGGAAACGGAAATGGACACATGGACAGATGGACTCATGCACACATGTATTCATGGACTTATGGACTAATGGACTCATGTATTCATGGACTCATGGACTCATGGAGTCATGGATTCATGGACTCATGGACTCATGGACTCATGGACTCATGGATTCATGGACTGATGGATTTATGGACTGATGGATTTATGGACTGATGGATTTATGGACTGATGGATTTATGGACTGATGGATTTATGGACTCATGGATTTATGGACTGATGGATTTATGTACTGATGGATTTATGTACTGATGTATTCATGGACTCATGGACTCATGGATTCATGGACTCATGGACTCATGGACTCATGGACTCATGGATTCATGGACTCATGGACTCATGGAGTCATGGATTCATGGACTCATGGACTCATGGACTCATGGAGTCATGGATTCATGGACTCATGGACTCATGGATTCATGGACTCATGGACTCATGGACTCATGGACTCATGGACTCATGGACTCATGGACTCATGGAGTCATGGATTCATGGACTCATGGACTCATGGATTCATGGATTCATGGACTCATGTATTCATGGACTCATGGACTCATGGATTCATGGATTCATGGACTCATGGACTCATGGATTCATGGATTCATGGACTCATGGAGTCATGGATTCATGGAGTCATGGACTCATGGACTCATGGACTCATGGACTCATGGAGTCATGGATTCATGGACTCATGGACTCATGGATTCATGGACTCATGGACTCATGGACTCATGGACTCATGGACTCATGGACTCATGGACTCATGGAGTCATGGATTCATGGAGTCATGTATTCATGGACTCATGTATTCATGGACTCATGGACTCATGGATTCATGGATTTATGGACTGATGGATTTATGGACTCATGTATTCATGGACTCATGGACTCATGGACTCATGGAGTCATGGACTCATGGACTCATGGACTCATGGATTCATGGACTCATGGACTCATGGACTCATGGACTCATGGATTCATGGACTCATGGACTCATGGAGTCATGGATTCATGGACTCATGGACTCATGGACTCATGGAGTCATGGATTCATGGATTCA